ATTTTCTATGTGTATAGATTGTATAATATGTATTTCTATGTGTATAGATTTTATAATATAAAATGTGTATAGATTTTTTATATTTATATCAACACAATTTTACAAAATAAAGATTGATTAATAACCTAATTAATTACGTAAAAAAAAAGAATAAAAACTTTTAATTCTTTAATTTTATGTATTTTATTACAAAGACCAAGGCCAAAACAAACAAGGTCAAGGCCAAAAACTTCAAGGCCAAGGCCAAAAGTTTCAAGGCCAAGGCCTCAGTTTTTGGTCTTAAGGCAAGGTCAAGGCCAATTAACAACTCTGGTCTAAAGAAACCTCTATATAAAAAATAGTAAAAGTTATTTTTATAGAAAAGCTCTACAAATATTTTTATAGGGTAGGGTAAAAAATTAAAGACAATACCATTTTTTTACTTTTAAATTGTATTCTTAACAGTTTAAATACTGTTTGAACAGTTTTATTTCTCGTGGTTGTCTCTGATTTGCCAAATATTCTAAAGCAACAAAATATTCTTTATCAGAATCAGAACAGTCCGAATCCATAAGAAACTGTTAATTTTTGTTAACTTTGATGTTTTCAACTCAAAAACATTTTGCTTTTGACAACCTTTTAAGTTATTGATTACAGACAGTAGATTTCCGAAAATAAATTCAGAGCAGAGATATCTTCAAAATTTTACGCCGGTAAAAGTTTTATAACATTGAATGAAAAAACATTTTACGTCTCTAAATTTACGGCTGTAAAAATTCCTGAGTAAAAATTTCGCCGGTAGAATTTTACACCGATAATAAGTTTTATAACATTGACCCCTGGACCACGTTTAAAAATGTTGCCAGCAAATGAATGAACTTCATTCTAAAAAAACAGTCTAATAAATAAGCTATAATATCTTATACAAAATTTTCAAAGTCAACTTTTGCAACTGATTAAATAAGAGCTCACAGTTGTTTTTCGTGCGAGTGTGAGTTTGCAGTATTTAAAAGCTCGTCAAAACTAAACATACAAAATACAATACAAAATATATTACATTAACAGGTATACCTATAACTATCTTCATTAAATTTGTTTCACGAAAACTCTTTTTTTTACCAGCTAAGTTAAATAAACTCATCAGTTTATTTCACATTAATCTAAATAAACAAATGACAAAAATAAAATCAGATCAGATCATAAGCAGTTTAAAAATTATGAATATAAGTTCATTTACAAGTCCAAATTACCCAGCCAGCATTTGGTCCAAAAAGAAAGTTTTTCAGGATCAAATGCGGGCCAGGTATGTTCTGCTAAAATACATTTAAAAAGTTTTTTTTAGCAGAATATAATTTCCAAACTTATAACATATAGCATTCTACAATTATATATCACAAATGCGTTTACATAGATTTACATCCATGTTTCCACACTTGTATGGTTTAGATGGTTCTCCATAGTAATGGCTCTCTCAAAAAGATTTGCAGCAATATTTTACAAACAGATGCCCAAATGTCGTATGGATGGCGTACAACCTGCTTAAGCAGGAATGGTACCAGTACCAAGATAACCTGACTTGACGCTTGACAAAGAGACCTAAAAAAATATGGATATGAAAAAAATTAGGTCATGCACAAAAAGAAAACAGTAGATAAAGCATTAATGATATTAAAGAAGACAGACATCAATATCTGTATTCTGTGTCACAAATATTTAATATTTGTGACAATAAAAACTGAAACTACAAATATATATTTTTATTCTATTTTAGTATAAAAATGTATAACTTATAATATTTTTTTTCTGTTAATTTATTTAAGCTCTTACCTTAAAAAACCTTTATACAGTCAGTGACAAAGGCAGGTTTTTTTAGGTTCCATATTTGACACTTTCAGGCTTTGTGCATACTTCAAACTTTTTATGTCTAACTGGAATGACAATGAAAAAAATATATTATAATCTATTATTTGTTATAAATAATACATAGGTGCTTGAAAACTAAAATACCCAAAAAATTTGCTCTCCTATATCTGAATATGAGGGGAATGAGTTCATATTAGCATTCAAAAGTTATGATGATGTACATTTTGCAACCTCCTCATTTAAGGAGAGAAACTAATCTTTATATGGTCAAAACATTTGAAAGCTAAAATACTAATAAAGTTACAAACCTGTCGATGAAATTTAATTTAATATTAAATAAAATACTGTTATTTACAGAACTCATTTCCTTCACATTCAGGGATGGGAAAGAGCAAAACGTTGTCATTCGACATAAGGATAAAAATAATTAAGTTTGCAGATTGGACAATGTGCTTGAAAATGTCTTATGTGAATACATAAAAAAATACAATCTATGCTATTGCACATGCATTTACATATACTCTATAGTGTAATGTATACAGATAAACAATAACCATAATAAATAATTTAACAAAACAAAACTTATTAGTTAATAATTAAGTAATTATTATTAAAAATTATTTGCATAGCAAAACAAAATACAAAAAGTAAACACATACTTAACAATCGACGCTTTCACAGTGGCATAACTAAAATTACCACCAACATTTGATAACTGAAGCCTCAAAAAAAATACAGTTAAGAATAAATAGTATTTTATTCAACACGGAAATGTTTTAGTTCAAAATCATAGTTCTAAATCAAGAATTAGGTTGAAGCTGGCAACCAAATTGAAAAAGCAAAGTAGACAGATAAAACCATGCCGATACAACATTTAATCATCATATCCGGTTTAAACAATTTGATTTACGTTTAATTACATATTTAGTTTATTACATATGAGGAGAGTATTATGTATTACTATATTCTTTTCTACTTGTTTATCTATCATATTTAATGATCGTCTGTTAGAATATAAAAAATTGCAATTAAAATTTCAATAAAAAACACAAAACTTTCATTAACAAATATACATTCGTAACATATTACTAGGTGTTGTAGGTGCCTTGTCTTTTTTATATCTTTGTTTTCATACCAAATTGTATACATTTTGATAAGAATTGGAAAAGTTATAACATTTGAAGTTACGAAAAACTATCAATTTTGTCATTATTTTTTCAAGAAATCCTTATAAAATTTTCTACTAAAAATATCATGTAAAATTTTGATTTTTTCACCATTAAAATATAAAACAATCATATTCTAACATTAATAAGTGTATTATTTAATTTTTTTCTGCACTAAATGTTAAATCATTGATATATTAATAAAGCTTTATCATACGTATTTTTATTAAATGTTGCAAAAGTATAATAAATTAAAATTTAAAAAAAATATATATATATATATAAAAAAGTGCAACTTTAAGCATAAAATTCAAAATTCTATGTAGATGGAATGTAAAAATAGTAATCATAAGGATACAGTAAACTCCCAATATCTCAAACCTCAGATAACTCGAACTTTCCTGTAACTCAAAGTACTTTCAATTATTATTAGTAGTAAACATATAATTTTTTTTACTGTTATATCTTGTTACTATATTATATATGTATGTTACTATATTATATATGAATCGATTCATATATATCATATATATCATATTGTCATATATATCATATTATGATATATAATATAGTTACATGCATCTATAATATTGTAACAGGGATTAGGTTATTGACTGTTAACTTCAAAGAAAATAAAATTACATATATATAAAAATAATGAAAATTTAGATTTATTGACTGATTTTTATTATATTATTACTGTATGAGTATAAAATCTTAATTTTATAATTTTATTTCCTGACATTTATATTATAATATATTTATATTATAATATATTTATAATAAGTATTACGTTTTAAAAAAAAACTATAATACTTAAAATATAAATGACAGTAAGTAAAATAGGATTTTATACTCATACAGTAATAAAAAGATTAGTTAATCAATCTAAATTTCATTATTTTTATATATATCTAATATGACATAAAAAATATTAAATATATAAAAATAAAGAAAATTTAATGACATAAAGTAAAAAAAAAACATGTCACGACACAGTATATCATATACTATTAGTATATGTCATATAAAGTTATATATAGTTTTTCTTTACTATATAAACAATCTTTGTATATTTTATTTGTCTAAATACATATATAAATATAAAACACATATGTTATCTAACAATTATCTAAAAAGTAATTGGAACCTCTTCATACGAGAACCATAAAACACCTTTTAATAATGGCGCCTTTACTAAAACACCTTTTAATAATTTCAATAATGACATTTCGCGTCATTAGACATAATAAAAAGGTTTTTCAAAACTAAAAGTGATAAATTTTCTTATTTTCAGAACGGACGAGAAAAAGACGTTCATAAGACGTCTTATTATAGTTCATATTGTGAATAAATCGAGCGGACGTGAACTGAACGTACATAAGGCGTCTTTTTTCCGTCGTGTGCCCTCTGGGTCTAAGTAACTAGTAGATGTTCTAAGCAGCTAGTAGATTTTCTAGTGAAAAGAAAGTCAAACTCAACTATTCGAATACATTTGATTCTGGAATGGAATTGTTACATTAGCTTCGTCAAGTAAAGTTGACAAAACCAGAATTCGGCATATGAAATCAAAGTCAATAGATAAAAGTAAAATACAGAGAAAAAAACTAAGAGCAGCTAAAAAAGGTTTCATAGACAATCAATAAGTAAAAGAAACAACTGACAGTTACATCCCTGGTGGATTTTGATAATTTTATGTTCTTTTTATATATATTTTTTTTATTTTTGCTTTTTTCTCAATATGTTTTTTTTTTTAACTTTGAAACACATATTTTCATTAACGAAACAAAATTACATAACAAAATTTAAAGCCTCTAAAAATTCCTGGATCCGTCACTGAGTATCTGAGCATACTAAATAGAAGAGTAAACAAGAAATTTATTTTATAAAACTAAAGTTAAATTGTTATTAGAAACTATCTATTTTGTCACAAATTTAATACTTTTTTTAGATATATGTTTGGAAAAAATTGATTTTATTTAGCCTATTAATCTTTTCAGAAAAAATTCACCCTGCACTAATTTAAAATAAAAGGTATTTTAAAACAAGGCATCTTTAACATAACCCAACGTTCAGAAAACGGTTCTGTTAATAAAAATGTTAAAGGTAAAGGTTGTGTTGCCGGAAAAATAAATGAAAATAAGACGAAGACTTGATTGTAAATTTGGATTTAATGTACCCTGATTAATTACTAATTGATGAGATAATAAAATTTAAAAAAACGCTAATTCAAAATAATGACCTGCAAAAATTCGCTAAAGATATATTTGCTAGTATTGAAATCTGAAATAAAAATTGTGCGTCTTCAATGTTGAGTTCTAATTTATTATAATAATACCGTATTTAGCTATTGCATGAGATTACTTGCAATTCCTTTTAAAATTGATAATCGTTTAAAATTCCCCAAAATAACTTGCTTTTAGTTATTTTGTAACCACTTAATTTAAAAGGGACTAAATAGGTTTTAAAGTATGAGTAATTTTATAGTATGAGACAATCAAATCTTTCTTATCCTAAAATAAAGGATAGCAAGAGATCTATACAAAAAACTTTTTTTTTTAAAGATATAATTTCAATTCAAAACAGCCAATTGATTTCAATAACAAGTGCTGCTCTAAAGATTTAAAGAATTGTTGCCAAAAAAGTGTAAAATTGAAGAACTTTATGAATATTTATCAGACACTTTTGTGGTTTTACCAACAAAAAATATGCTATTATTTATTTAAAAAGAATTTGCATTGTTTGAAGCGTCTAATGATCAACAAAAAGGTTTAGAAAAGTTGTGGAAGCTGAAAGATGCTTCAGCACGGCTGGCTTCATTACTAAACTTAGAACATTATTAAGAGATGAAATGATTGATACATTATGTTTTTTAAGGTCATATTTAACTAGAAATTTATAGTTTTTATGTGTTTGGCTGAATCAATAAACCAGTTTTCTTATTCTTTATAAAATAAAATATGTTTTCATATTTACTATTTTGTTATATTGTTATTTTTTAATTGCCACATCACTTGTTGAAATACCTGTAGGGGATTACTTGATATAAAACTTCAGAAGCATTGGCAAACAGATACGCTTTTACATAACTATGCAATTATCAGCCCTTTGAGTAGTCACCTACGGTTGACCAGCTCGGGCTTTGCTTTTAAAACTAACAGTTTCATGATATCATTTTAATGTTTTTATGATGCAGCCATGTATTACATTAAAAACTTCCAGTAATGTCAGTGTCAATCGTTGTTCACATAGAATAGAATGATAAAATGTTATAAATTAATATGTATATGTAAATATCGCATGTTTAACAAAACAAACTTAATGAAAAATAAACTTAAATTAAAAGATTTTTAGATAACAAAAGATACTATAGTATCTTTTGCTATGTAAAGAAATCTCCTAGATTTAAACCAACTATATATATATATATATATATATATATATATATATATATATATATATATATATATATATATATATATATATATATATATATATATATATATATATATATATATCTAAATATATATATATATATATATATATCTAAATATATATATATATATATATGTATGTATGTATATATATATATATATATATATATATATATATATATATATATGTATGTATGTATATATATATATATATATATATATATATATATATATATATATATATATATATATATATATATATATATATATATATATATGATAAATTATTAAATGATAAAGTATTTGCATAAAAATAGGTTTCCGTGGATTCCACTCTTCATTTAACTATTTATGATTGTCAACAGAACTAATTTAGTTTAAGTTTTATATTTAAAAAGTATTTTAAAGTTAAAAAAATTAATAAGTATTTATAGTTTTTGTAGTGTTTTATTTATTTGGGGCAGAGATAGCAATTGGTTTAAATCTTTGAGATTTCTTTACATAGCAAAAGATACTATAATATCTTCTGTTATGTTAAAACCTTTTAATTTAAGTTCACTTTTCATTAAGTTTATTTTGAAAAAAGCTGAGAACAAATATAATACACAAAACGTAAATTGCTTTTTATTAAAAATGCGATATTTACATATACATATTAATCACCACAGCTCAACAATTTGGAATAACAAGGGAAAATGCCTTGAGTAATAAATAAATATATAACCGTTAATGCTACACAAATAACTATAATCTAACAGTAAATAAATATATTCTAAGTGCTTTAATCTTTTCTTGTTAAAGGGTTGATATCCATAAAAATAATAAAAAAAATCTTTCAGCAAGCTTTGAGATGAAACCTTGCAATTATAGATAAAACAGAATATATCTGATAAATAAAAATTATTATCATTAGAAATTAGGGCACATTTATACACAAGAGTAAGAACAAATCAAAATAACTGATCTCCTGATGCATATCACATTGTATCATTTAAACAGAAGCATTAAAAAAGCTAAGTCAATTTTTTAATGATTGTTTTGTCGTCACAAAAAAACTTGAAGCAAAGTATATGCAGTATATAAAAATGAAAAAATTTATATAGATTTAATTAAAGCTTATCAATTGGGAGTTTTCAGGTGTCTTAATTTCATGGTAAACTTATTTGTTAAAATTAATTAACAATTTTATCTTGTTTTATTTATGTATCATGATTAATGCAAAAACATTTTTGAGTAAAATAATGCATAACCACCGCTACTAATAAATAACATTGATTATCATGAGCCAGATAATTGGCTTATATCAGAGTAAATAAGCTTTAGTTTCTCTAAGCATGATGCAATCAAGTCAACCATAATTGTTGGATGTCGGTAATTACATGAGTTACTACTCAGGTAGTTACCAACAACCTAAACAAAGATCTGAGACATACAAACGATGATTAGAAATAATAATAATTTATCATACCTATTATCTAATAAGTTATTTAATATATTAAATTATGGAAACTATTATCTATTGATCTATTAAATAAATCATATAAACAAGGTTGCGAAACATAGAAACTGTGAAATTTGAGCTCCGAAATATAAACGTTGTTTTTTGATTTTAAAATGGCCAAGACAACTTTTCTACTCTCTTACCAAGCGTTTTGGTTTCACTAACTCCTGAAGTTGCTTAACTTCATTTAAAAAAAAATCAAATATTCTGATAATCAATGTATGATTTTAAAATGGTCAAAACAATTTTTTTGTTTGTTACCATAAGTTACGCTACCGCAAATTCCTGGACTTTTTTTAACTCTCATGGGTTCAATACATTTTAACAATTTCATTGGTCAATTCTCATGGTTTTAAAACATTTTAAAACCATGTAAAGTAAAAAATGTCAGGGCATCCTAATTTTAAATAAAATCAATGAGGAAGAGCTTAAAAATTAGTTTAAACAATTTAAATTCCTTTTTTTTTTATATAAGTTGCTAAGTAGTCTAAGTTTAGTTTTGTGACGTCAGTTGTGATGTATAAAGCCTTAAAAATTGTTTTAATTTTACACTAAAAAAATTCTCTTATTTGGAAATTCTGTTTCTATTTCACAGCAAACAGTCAATATTGCTCTTTTGGAATTAAATTAGAAAGTGAATATCATCTAACAACATTCCGGCTGTTGACTTTAATTGAGTTAATAAAGATATTCCTGAATATGAAAAAAAATACTAACTTGGAGGATTGGGTTATCAATAACCAATATCAAA